GTTCACAGAACTATTTTTTCTCAAAGCCAAGCGCGAATACGATTTCAATGTATTTATGTTCATTAGAAGGCGCTCCCCAGTGGCACAGCGGTATGTCTGCGGACTTACATCGCTAGAAACTGAGTTTCGATACCCGTGGTGGGCAATGGATATTTTACTGGCCACATAAAACATTATCTTAATAACTTAAACAATGTTTTAGCGTTTCCATAATGGATATTTTACTGGCCACATAAAACATCATCGTCGCAACACCAGACAAGTAAGGTACTGTAAAAGACTCATGCAATATTGAAATATATGGAGTTTTCAAAAAAATTTTAATCACAATGTTATCATTAAAAAAAGATCACATCAGAACTGATATTTTTATAAACACTTATACTAGGGTAGTACTCTTGCACCGGGACTACAGATGCCTCCAGCACCAACACCAGTGCCATTAACAGATCTTGCTCCTCCTCCTTCTAATGAAGAAATATTCGGTAAGGTTTATATTTGTATTTAGAAACAAATAAAGACCTGGGTTTTTCTTCATCTGATGAGGAAATTCTGGGTGAAGATTATTTTAACACTTAGAAACAAATATAACCATAGCCCTTTTTCCGTCTGATGAAAAAATATTTAAGAATTATGTTTGTATTTAGAAACAAATAAAGACCTGGCTTTTTCTCCGTCTGATGAGAAATATTTGGCAAATATTATGTTTATATTTAGAAATAATTAAAGGCCTAGCTCTTTCTCCGTCTGATGAGGAAATATGTGGTAAATATTATGTTTACATTTTGGAAAAAAATAGAGACCAAGCTTTTTCTCTGTCTGATAGTGAAATATTTCATGAAGATTGTGTTTGCGTTTAGAAACAAATAAAAAAACTGGCTTATTCTCCGTCTGATTAAATATTTGGTAAATATTATGTTTGAATTTAGAAACAAATCAACCCCATTCATCTATGTGGACAAATGGCGGGTATAGCGGTAGTTAAACAATATTCTACGTATTTTCCAGGTAATTTAGGTGAGCTTTCTATAATGACTGCGTTAAAGGTACTTTTCGGCTGCAAAGTATTCGTTTATAATTGTTCTCTAGAGTATCTAGATAAATCCATAAATAAAGTATAGTTATTTTCTTTTTCTTATTTTTATTTCAATCTATAATTATTCTTATAAGTGTGAAGTAACTCGTCACAACTTTAACAGTATTAAATATTTACTCATTTTAAATGGTTAATAGAAAATACGTTTGGCACACGTCCGAATCTAAATAAAATATTTTCGTATGTAGCATTCCTTTCTTTTTGAGGTTAATTTAAGGTTTAAAAGCAATTCAAAAAAAAATTATTTACTGTAAGGTTCATAATTTATTTAAAATTGCACAGCAAAACAGAAGGGGAAAAAGGAATTAGAAAAAAAACCGGAAAAAAAGAGGTTATCGAGAACCTTTGTGCAAAATAATAATTAGAGTGAATTTAATTTATTTCCTCATTAACAGGGGAAACATCATGATGTATACTTTATTCCAAAAAACAAAAAGGAGGAAAACTCATAGAGTCATTATTTTACTCCATTTTAACGTTCAATATTGTTGATAGAAGGTATCTTAGTCCTTTATTATAAGCAGCGTTAATCTTGTTACTTTTGTTATATAACATGTTTTTAAATCATCCCAACCAGAAATTTCGTTTTAATTTTGTTTTCAACTTCAGCAAAAATGTTTTGTTTAAACGAATATTGTCAGAGTTATCTAGTGTTAGTATTACAATTTATCATGGACAAGCCTCCAATTTATTACGTAATGTATTAAAATTTTTAATAACCTAAGACTGAATTAAGTGATAACTTAGATTTAGAAATTAAATATATGTCGAACGTGTCCAATTTATGACACTGGCCAACAAGATTGATACACACAGTTTTTTTAATACAAATATATTTTAATATACAAACAATAACAGATATTACAAATAACGATATTTGTACATAAGTTTTAGAAACTTACAAACAATATTTAGTCCTCTGTCTGGTCTGGAACTTCCTTGTTATCTTATCGAGTGTTCACGATGAGCGAATTAATTTTGAGTAGATGTTGATACAATTCACTTAACAGGGAGCTAGCTAGCTCTGTGTTATTCGGTCTTCGCCAGCCACACGCCGAGCTGTTCACCGATGAAGTTACATAATGTTTTCGTAAAAATACTAATGTCAGATGTGAATACGCTGAAGTTAAATGGTTCCTAATATTCGAAATCTATAAACGTTCCTGGTCAATTATATGAAGTTCCCGATTAATAAGCGTTATAACAATCATAGTTATAGCTTCCAAAGTTTATAGCACACCAACTATAGCAAATTAATAATATATACTGTCTTTTGGCGCGTCGCGTTGATTATATTTATAGACGTGAGGAGAGTTTCTCGATATTTCAGCTTACGTAACAATATAAACGATACACCAGTGTTTACGTACACACTTATATTGTTGATTCTTACACTCGAGAATTGTCGACAATTTTCATAAATATGCGGAAATTTTGTAATACAGATTTAACAGTATAAGTTATGTACATTTCTACATATAAATGTAAATTAAATAAACATCGATATTAAAATAAATATAAGATAGCAGATACGTCACACTAGCTTTAGAATATTTTGTCTATGAATTTGTATAATATATAGATAATTAACTTCAGAACGTTATACAATAATGAGTGTAGCTAGATTTGTTTTGTTTACGTGTAGTATATTAAGCTTATTTGGTATTTTTATCTGAAGGCAAGATTGATGAGTTGAAAAAACGTCATGAAACGCAAGTTCAAGACTTTCAAAAGAGTCAAGCCATGAACCATGCCCGAATGGAAGTGGGTTTAAAGGAGAAATTAAATGCTCGTCGAAACCGCAGAAACAGGCTCCAGATGCACTCTGAAGAACTGCAGGCCTTAGAGACGGCAGCGTAGGAGTAGTGCACTTCTGCGGTTCACTCGTTTATTTCCAGTGACCAAGAATATGAAAATAACTTTGATGCTGATTTTCCACGTGATTTTTCCATATTATAAACACACCATCAATTCACAGTCACAGTGTGTTTTCCACGTGTTTACAGTTTATCGCATGTTATAACGTAGTACCTTTTATTAGTTGCTGTTATTGCTGACAATTGCTTCTAGTTTTTGTCACCAAATGCAGCCTACATGTTACAATATTGAATTTAACCCTTTTAACATTAATTAACATGAAAACTTAATACACGTGACAGATTGCAGTGCAAATCATATTCCATACCATTTTTCTTCACAATCACCTGGTGTTTAATTAGTTCGTCAATCTTTTTAACAAACATAACTGATTGTTGTGTGTTTTGGTGTTCCTTTTACGAAGAGTTAACTTTTATAAAATAACTGATATTGAAGTTCATACAGAGTTGTAGAGAGTATGAAAAGCAAAAGCTGGTTTACATTTGTATCTATACTACTACATACCAATGGCGTGGAAATGTAATGTGTAGTGCTACAAGGTTACAAATGGGTCATTATGTTTCCTTATTTACGAACAACGTGTTTCAGAACATCTGATTTTCTGACTCTGTGTTATTTCATCAACGATTCTGGGATAGCTTACTTTTTTTTAAAACTTTTCGTTAAATTAAATGTATGAATATGATTCAAAATAGACAGATAGCTTTTATTTTCTTTATTAAAAATTAATTAGGAAAGAATTAAATAAATTTTCTAAATTACTTATTATTCCCGTCTTTCATATCACAGCTTGTTTCCTTTAGAGATGTTTTACGTGCATTCGATCACTTCTTATTTTTATCAAACTTTTTCAAGTTCTGCAAAAGTAAATTTTAAATATTTGGAAAGAAGTAACTACACTAACTAGTTATTGTAGAAATCTTCTAAAGTGAATGTAAACCTTCACACGAAAGTGCCTTACATTGTTCTATTCTAATTGGTTAATCATTAAAAATATGCAATTCCTTAACTGCTTCGTAAATATTCTTTAGATATATTATTTATAAGAATCGGTTACCACATAGTTTCATATATACAGTAAACAAATTACGAAAAGTTAAGAAAAGTAAAAAAAAAAAACTTAAAAATCTCGATTGACAATCAACTTAAATCAAAGAAATAAAATTATGTTTTCTTAGAGTAAAAAATAATTGACTAGTTTGTTTTTTTTTTCAGAAAGTGTACGCAAAGGTTTATTTGAAAAGCAGTATGTCACTTCATCGAATATAAGCTTAATTAAAGATAATCCGTCTTAATACTTGGGAATTTAAAAGTACACTACTTTAGTGAGTTTTTCATTCCTGTTTTTAGCTGCAGATGATATAAAATAAGAACTTATTGCTACTGAATTGTCTGAGTTATTTGGATAAATAACTAAATAACTCTGGCTGAACAGATACGTTACTCTATGATAATTTATTTTACTGAAATGAATGTAGTATCTTTTTTTTGAGTGACATTTGAACACTTTCCAAATTATCGTAAAGAAGAGTGGATTTTCGTCAAAACTGTTTGAAGTTTCACTTAAAGTGTATTTTATGTGGTTCTTTAAAGTAAATGACATTTTTTAAGGTAAAAATATTTTGTATTGACAAACTGAGAAAACAAATGTCATTAATCTTAAAGATTCAATAAGTCTCTATTAGTGTTTGAGACTGTTTAGAGATGACCTAATGAAGATTTATAAGAGCTAACTGAGGTATTTTTATAAAAAGGTGTAGTTTGCTGAACCTTTAAACCCGAGTAATTTACCTCTATCCAACGTTCTTTTATTTATTTTGTAAAAAAAACCCATTAATTAGTGGGATTAGCATATAAAATATAATTCTTAATGACAACTACAGATGATAAATAGTTAATTGTCTAAAATATATTTTGTGCAATGATCACTGTATAAGAAGTTTGTTGTTCAATAAAGAGCACAGAGAAAGTATAATTTTGAACAAATAGCTTAGCATTTCTTTGTCTGTTGTGAAATCCCTTGCTGTGAACATCTATGACGTAATGCAAAATTATTGAATTTGGAATGTTTTTTCAGTTATATTACACAGAACTTAGAGAAACGTTAATGCAACGTAATAAAAAAAAGTAAATTTAAACGTTTTTGTTAACTTAATTCAACTACGAAACATATTCTTGCTTGTAATATGATGATCCGTAACTGTTTCTATATTTAGAAATAAAACTCTAAGAATTTCTGATCGCATTTGCTTATTTAAATTTACCCTGTAGTACTCAGTTTTCTGATGGTTAGGAAATTTCTCTTTAGTTCTTATTTGCTCATGTGCAAATATTGGCTTATTGTTTAAAGTTCTGGAAAAGTTTTTTTTTTTTTGGTGTACAAAACTTGAAGATAGCTTTTATATGCGGAAACATATATTAACTGAGTTCTTGTACTGATCTTAAAATATAACGTTGGTGAATGGAAACATCGGCACATGTAGATATGTACCAATTGTTGGTTGAGATGTTGCAAAGGAAATATCTGCTGAAGGTTTTCGCCAGACACTTTACCAACGTTACATTTTTAGATCTGTGCAAGAACTCAGCTGACATATGTTTCCGCATATAAAAGCTATCTTAATGTTTAAAGTTCGTTCGGCATAATTTGTAACTAACTAATTTCAAGTGTACGTGTTTTTAACTGCTTTCTTTGTTATCGTAAAGTCACCTACCCCATTCTGAAATGTTCTTCAGTGAGTAAATCTCCATTGTCCCTAACAACTCAGGTGTCAATTGGTACAAAAAATCCCTCAAGACCCGCCAAAACAAAATACAGAATCTAAAAATTTTTGTACTCGTAATAATGAATCCGTTAGTGCAATAAATCAAGACAACACCTAAACTCTGCTAATGTTGAACAGTCTTGTCATTTGACTAGGCTTCTAATCCTAAGATTCTGTAAACTATAATATAGGTACGTTTTAGGACAGTGTCAAATATATTATCAAATTTAGAACCTGAATCATGTTGCAGAACAAAAGCACAACTAAAACTCAGACTTTAGGTCTTATCCACTGCAGCTGAAAATGCCAGTGTATTAAATAACCTAAACATATCACAAGTATAACTGCAGTTGATAACACAAGTGACTTGAATCTAGGATTTTGTTCCCTGCAAATAGTCCTTATCATAAGTACAGTTGAAGACTGAGGAACATTAAGTAATCAAAACGTTGTTTACGAGAAATCGTCCTTATCTTGACTACAGTTGAACGTGGCGACATATAAAACAAACAACTCGTATTTTCAAGAACATTAAATGGGATAGAATATTCGATACCTAATTATCAGTTCCCTCCGTTTGATGAAAACGGAACATTTCGGATATATACAGTTAGTATTATATTAGATAAATAGTTCAACGGTAAGTTAGTGGGCTAATACGGCTAAAAATCGGATTTTGATACCCGCGGTGGGCAGAGCACAGAGGGTTTGTTCGTTTGTTTGTAGGTTAAGCACAAAGTTAGACAACGGGCTATCTGGTTTCTAGCATTGTAAGCCTCAGACATTCCGCTGTGCCACTGGGGGGAGGCGAGCACAGATGGACCATTACTCTTGACAACAAATAAATTAAATCGACAGGGAGATTAAAACAGCTTAAAATTGTTCATGTTTTATAATCAATCTCCATTAGGATCTTACCGTAATTCCTACTTTAAACATAAGTCAAACAAAATTTGAACAACTGGAAAACATGCTTTATGGTGAAGTTATATTTATTAAGGAATTCTTCCCAGAAGTTCTTTATGATTATGCACAGAATTGGTCCAAAACATTATACTTCATAAAACCTTTAAATATTACTCTTATTTTTTCTTTCAATTTGTAAGAACATCACATTGCTATTTCTATGAAACATTGAAAATACGCTTTTCTAGATTTCAAGATAATTTTATATATTAACAGGTGTATATTTGTAAACAAAGACAAATCTACACTTTTTTGGGATTCGTTAACAGTATTTGTATTCCAAATATATAGATACATAGATCTGTAAATCCCTTACTGTTACCCTGTTATTTATTCTTGAGCAAATCAATTACGCCTGTTCCCTCATCAAAATATTGCAACTGTCCTAAACTTTTTGAAATGTACTTGATTAATTGATCTTCACCAAATAATCCAAATAATTAATGTTAATCATTTTGTTATATTAGATTATTTAAGCTTAATTTTTTTATTGCTGTTTGCACTTGGTGTATTTTTTCGTATAATGTCTCTTTTACTGCCCAGAAAACCATTCGTTCCATTGGTCCAGGTACATAATCACCAAAAAAAAACATTTTTTTACAACAAGACGAAAAGATTTATAAGTGCCGTTATGTAAAATTAGCATATTTTAATAGCGTTGAAGTACAGTAAATAAACCTGTAAAAACAAACACGTTTCATGCTAAAACCCTCACATTTACCATGAAGAGGTTTTCTTTATAGATTCAACCTAAGAAACCGTTTTGTTGTTGTTGTGTAAAAACATGTTTATTTTCAGTGATTAGACCCCTTCTTTCAACACCAGAACTCATCAACTGGGCTGGAGTATGAGATATACAAGTTCATCCAAACACTGTTTACGTATATATTTGCAGTATAAAAACAATTAAAGCTAGGATTTGAACTCAAAAAGTTCTTGAAGCATTGGAAGCTGATAGACCTAGTATTTGTAATAAAAATGATCTTGGATGAACCAGTGTCAGACAGTACTTATAGTCTGTAAGCCGTGAGAAGAAAAAAAGGCGTATGCCAAACTAGAGATTAAATCGACTATTTTATTTCCTGGAGTCGTCATTTCAAAGTATACTTTCAACCCTTCAGTCTGCTGAAAAAAAATTTGAAATATGTTAAAAGTATTGTCATTTAACTTTAGGTTAACTTTAGAATATTTTATTGTCTAACAGAGCATTTCTGCTCGCTTGTGTTTCCGAAAAACTATACTGAAAATGTAGAACTGCCTTTTGATAAAGTTTACATTTTATGTACGTGATGAGTATTCCATTGGGATACACAACTGTGTCATGTTCTTTAAGTATGAGAAGGGAAAAATAAGTTACAGAAATAGTTACCATTGTAGCTCTTCAACCCAAGAATAAGCTTACGCTGCTCGTTACTTGTTCTTTGTTATCAATATTTTTTCGAGAAATTAGTCACTGAGAGAGGCTAATGCTTATTACTTCACAACATAATGATGCGAATGATTAGATGTAACAATTAGCTGTTTCCCATTGGCTCAGTGGTAAGTCTGAGGTTTTATAACGCCTAAATAAACCTACCTGTAACACAGAGAATTGTGAAAGTACTAGGGGTCGATATTCGTGCAGGAAAGAAACCCTTAATTGTCACAACACAGTAAATGAGACTTCACACATATGATACTAAATCAATCACCAGAAGTCTCTTATTTATTCACAAATATCTAGGAAAAAACACGAGAATAACTTATAACCCGCACCAACTGATATGAGGTTACATAAAACCTTACTTTTATTCATTAGTTGTCACGTGATACGGGACTTGTTATTAGCGAGTAATTTAATCAATAGTCTATTGTGTTCTTTCATTATTACACTACATAAGTAATAGCAACTTGCGCTGTTTACACCTGAGTTCTGAAAATATTCCAAACAGAACTTAGAACACTGCTGTACACACCCACATTTCTCAATGACTATATAAAGCCCCTATGGATTGTCTGTCTTTTTTTCTTTTTTTTTAGTATATAATGACCATAGTTGATGAGTTTGATGATTATTTTGAAACCAACATCCTCCCGCATCCTCCGGAAATCAAATCCAAGAAAACATTCCAGTTCTTAGAAAAAACCCTAAACGCAACATTGGAAACAGTTTTCTACCATACCCTATATACGGGTTGAAGTGTAGTTATTATGATATGTGGAGAATATCCCATAAACCAGAGTATAAAAGAAAACAGTAATTTCACTAATGTTATCTACATCCAGGAATTAGCACGTGGTGCTCCAGGTTTCCAAGGTAAGACTACTTATGATTCTCTCTGTCTTTATCCACAATATAAAATAAGATGTGCATGCGCTAAATTTGTTGCTCTGGATACGTTTTGTTATTTTACTTCAATATAATAGTTTATAACTCCGTAACATTTAGCTAATAAGTTTGTAAATAAGTAGCATATTAATGTCCAAACGTTTCTTATCTACTTTCCATATCCTTTCTACATAATATACAATGTGATCGATGAAATGACTTCCCAGGAAGTAAATAATGTAAAACCAGTATTGGATAATAAGTTTTATATCTTTCTATAAACTAAAAAGCAAACATTTTGGACTGAACATCATTTCAGGCAAAAATAACAATTATTTAACACGTGTATAATGTGATTACCTGTTACTTCAAAAAGGGAGGAGTCTGCATGGGTTATTAAGTTCTCTGTCATTGAAAATTCAAACACATATGACACAAATTTAAGATTAACTGTTGATTCTATTTAATTTAATCTTCAATTTACCAACAACATGTAATATGTCGTTTACTACCGTTGTGGTCCACATACGGGCAGCATATTGAATAATTTTATGTTTTTCCTGTAAAATCATAAAGTATGTGAAATCATTCATCTTCTATACGTGTATAAAACGTACGAGTTACCTCAGTACTGGGATTAATTTCGATATTGGTGGTACTTTTGTGTGGCTCTTGAGTTACTGTGGACCTTTTAACAAAGTAATTAAATTTGATACTCAAATAGTTTAGCCAATTTTTTTTATAAAGCTGACGGACCCTATTGTTAACTCTGGAATTAAATGAAATAATCAGTAACCGCTTATAATTCATGCAGTATTTTGGAATATGCTGTTTTGAAACAACATATAATTATTGCAATTCTTAATGCTTTGTTTATTGTTTATTTGTATAAGCACAAAGCTATACAATGGGCTATCTGTGCTCTGCCCACCACGGGTATCGAAACCCGGATTCTAGCGTTGTAAGTCCGCAGACATACTGCTGTGCTACTGGGGGGCAATTCTTAATGCAAATGATCCATTTATATAAGTTAACATTAATGACTGTAAAATTAATTTGCAGTTCCCAATACTGAACCTATTCTCTAGCATTTGAACAAAAGTGAATTATTGAGATAAGGAGCTTTATGACAAATTCAATATTGGCATGAGAGAACAGATTTGTTTAGTTTACAATTTTCAATATATTCTTTAGTTAAATTGAATCATTTACGTACATTTCATTTAAATTTATTCAGGAGTTTCTGTCGATAAGATAGCATTTCGTATTAGAAGAAACGTAAGAAACTCGAATCAAAACTAAAATTGCATTTAAAATTTAACTCTTACATTAAGTGTGCGAGTATATATATACATGTACATATCAAAGTACAGCCTCCAGTAGAGAAAGATATGTTTTGATATTCACAGCTTTAACATAATGTTAACAAGCATTATCCTCAGTTGTATCATTAGTGCTAATTAGTGGCTCATTCCTGTGCTGGATACAGGATGTCTGTGCGAAGAACTTCCTCTAATATTTTTCTCTTTTCTTCCTCAGATTGAGTTCACAGAAAAAAATTAAGATTCAACTTTACAGCTAAAAATGGAATATTATTCCACAAACGTCGTATTTTCAGTGGTATCTGCAATATTTTTATACCAACTAACGTCGGTATTTTCATGCGAATATAAAAACATTTATCCGGACCATACTATGTGTAAATATAAGGGCCAAGACGCTTCTTGCAAAATCATCCAGAGACTGGTATCGAAATCCGAAATAAATGAAATCGTGCAAGCTCACAATGAACTTAGACAACGTGTAGCAACTGGTAAAGAAGTCAACCAACCAGAGGCTTCCAATATGAGAAAAATGGTAAATATGTAATTTTAAATATGGAACAGTATAAATGTGCAAATGGCCATATTATCAAATCTTATCAGATTATTGAATAACATTTGAATTAACAGAAAATTATAGCATATTAAACATTCCAAAAATATATTTATTATCTTAATATTGTTTGTTCGCATAAAATCACAAATACTTTCATAAGTTTGTTGCAGTCAATATGAAAAAAGTGTTAATTTTGAAACGTTTTTATACAGACCTTCCCTCTTTAAGAAATTCTCACATGTTCGATGACAGATTAGTAAAAGCTAATAACAGAAGTATACATTTTTAGTAAAAGTTAATGAATATTATTACACCTTTTACTTTATTATCATGTTTTTCTTACCAGAGTTGGGATAAAGAACTTGCTGAAGTGGCTCAGAGATGGGCAGATCAGTGTAACTTTAAACATGACTGTACACAATGCCGGAAAATTGGTAAGTGTCCCTTTTTTGGCAAATACTTAGGCCTGTGGAATTCTAAAAACAAATTATTTGTCTATTGCGTGATATAAATTTCTGCCTTATGGGTAACTGTTTTAACACAGCGATAACATCAGTCCTTTATTCGACAGTACGTCACTGAATTCACTTGACTAGAGTTACATTCATACAGATAATATTTCATAGTGATATTTATTTCAATAAACAAACGGTAAAAACCTGCTAAACACAGAATTTGCCTTCATTAGACCATAGTTATCTCTGAAAGTGTTTGTCTATCAGCCGAAAGTAAATCTCAGTTTTTGATTCTTGCTTGTTAGATTTAACAAGTTGGTAAAATAATTTTTTTAACAAATTACGAAACACGATAAGTTTTAATGTATGAGCCAATAGTTGGGTTGAACTTCTGAAATTGATTTATTGTTATAAAAGTTTCAAATTTCTGTATAATGAGTACAAATGTTCTATTTGATTTCTCACTTTTTTAGAAACACACTAACGTCAATAATTAAATATCGTTTTTCTAATTTGAACGTTATTTAATTCTCAAACATATTGATAACCATTATCGATGTCCTAGTAGGTCGTGTATAGTGTTTAAAAAGAAGGATGTGCACATTAAGGGTGGAGATAATGTACAGAGTTTAAGGATAATGGAGAATGCACATTAAGTGTGGTGTCTTTGTAGATGGTGTATAGAGTTTAAGGAAAAGGGAAAATGCACATTAAGTGTGGTATTCTAGGAAATGATGTATAACTTAAGGAAAAGGAAACATGTGCAATAAAGGTGGTGATGTCCCATAGGATGATGTATAGAGTTTAAGGAGAATAAAGAATGCACATTAAGTGTGGTATTCTAGGAAATGATGTATAACTTAAGGAAAAGGAAACATGTGCACTAAAGGTGGTGATGTCCCATAGGATGATGTATAGAGTTTAAGGAGAATAAAGAATGCACATTAAGTGTGGTATTCTAGGAAATGATGTATAACTTAAGGAAAAGGAAACATGTGCAATAAAGGTGGTGATGTCCCATAGGATGATGTATAGAGTTTAAGGAGAATAAAGAATGCACATT